TGGCGTCCTGCGGGTCTACCTCCCCTGCTGCGCCTCGACTCAGCAGGGAGGAGACCTCCGCTTGCAGTGCCTCTAATGATTCCCGTACCTGAGAACGTGCTGCCCGTACGCCTCGGAATGGTGGTGGCTTCCGGGAGAATTGCAGTGCGCAACCCCTGCGCAATGTTTTCTCCAGCCACAGATCCGTCAGCAACCTTGCTCCCTCCAGATGCTGTAGAAGTCTGTGAGAGGCGGAACGGGAGCTGGAACACGAGAAGTCACGGCCCCGCCCTCTCCTGGTGTTCCTAGCAGGGAGGGGGGGTGGACGAAAGGGCCGGGGGGGGGGGGCCCTGCGTCACACCGTGAGCGCCGGGGGCGGTCACGTGTCCTGCAGGCCCGACGTCATAAGTACGAGACTGCTCATCCCACGTGACTCGGCTGCTGTGCCCCCCCCTGGCTCTTGTCTCATGGAGGGGGGGGGGGGCGAGCCCCTGGAGTGGGAGACCCCGTGTTAGCCTTGTAGCTCAGAGATGCTAACACGCGTTCGGCCGAAGCACACACATCATTACTCACCAGATCCCTCCGCCTGACCTCTCTCTGGGAGGGCATAGCATGAACCAGAGAACCGGAGCTCGTAGCTCGCGTAGCGCACTGCACACCCTGCTCTGGGGGCTGCAGGCCTAGCGAAGCAACGTTATGTGCTCGGGAAGTAACACAATCAGAATTCACCCTATTTGACATGTTACATACCCCCAAATGAGACTCAGAAACGAGTAATGATGAAATGCCGGTCGGCCTTTATTGAAGGAAAACTTTCCACCCCGACGTCCTCTGCCATAGGGAGGTCGGCGGTGGGTGCGTTGCTCCCGCAAGCCACCCATGGGTCTGTCTGGACCCGGGGGCCTCGTCGAAGGGGGACGATGGACAACAGAGCGCGGATACGGGTCAGGATGCCTCCCGGGCGAACGCTCTCGACCTCTGTCCCGGCTCCGTGATGGCTGGTGGGCCTCGCGCCTCGGTGCTAGGTGCGGGGCTAGCCTAGCCGAGTCTTTAGCTGCAGACTCCAGTCTCGCCACCAAGGCCTGCATGTCTGGGCCGAAGAGGGACATCTGAGAGATGGGCAGGTCCAGCAGCTGCCTCCTCTCCGCCTCCCTGATATTAGCCAGCCCAAGCCAAAGGTGCCTGGCCCCGACTTGGGCTTCTGCCATGGAGCGGCCACCATCCACAGCTAGCGTCTGGCACATGCGCAGAGTCGCCGCCGAGGTGGTCCTCGCCTGTGACAGGAGGTCTCCACTGAGCGCCTGGCCAGAAGAGAGCGACATATCCAGGGCCCCCGAGATGAATGCCATGTTGTTAGTCAATGCGAGGACCTGTGCTGCATTGGCATAATATCTATCCAGCATCGGCAAGACATCCTGTCCCGCTCGGAGGGAAGGAGAGGTCTGGTGCCGGGCCACACGGATGCGGAGGGCTGCAGGGCCATGCGGACTGGATCCTCGGTGTCCGGGCCACCATCCACAGCTAGCGTCTGGCACATGCGCAGGATCGCCGCCGAGGTGGTCCTCGCCTGTGACAGGAGGTCTCCACTGAGCGCCTGGCCAGAGGAGAGCGACCTATCCAGGGCCCCCGTGATGAAAGTCATGTTGTTAGCCAATGCGACCACCTGTGCCGCATTGGCATAATATCTATCCAGCATCGGCAAGACATCCTGTCCCGCTCGGAGGGAAGGAGAGGTCTGGTGCCGGGCCACACGGATGCGGAGGGCTGCAGGGCCATGCGGACTGAATCCTCGATCACCGGTCCAGGACCAGTCCTGCCCGCTGCAGTACAAGTCGTACCCCAGAGCAGGCCTCTTGGCTGCTAGGGGTTTAGGCCACTCACGTGTCGCGTAATGGACAAACGGGTCCATCCGCGGGCACAACGTGGGTTGCATCCTCCTCCTTCCTCGAGTAGTGGCGCCCACAGAGGTGAAGTCCTCCACCGTCTGGATCCAGCGACGACGTCCGACGCCGGAGGGCGAAGGGAACTCGGACGAACAAGGAAGACATCTCAGAATGAAGTAAGTACTGTGGTAGATCTCAAACGGCGCCAGAGTGAAAGAGGGGGTGCGGCCTTGTGCAGGGGCATTTATAGAGGAGGGTGGCTGGTGATTGGAGCAAATTATTTGATCTCTCTGACGTGTGACCTGGGGGTCACGAGTGATATCCCACTAGCGAAGTCCTAAGGGACGTAGCACCATGACGTAGAACGGGCGGGCACTTACACACACGGCAGGGATCCACCCTGCCGCTGCGTCCCTCGAGAGTCAGGCACCGTCTCCTGCTTGCGGTCCAGCTCCGCCCCTGGGCACAAGGACAAACACACAAGCAAGAGACCCCACAAAATGATCTTATAGCACCGCTACAACGACTAGAGGTACGACTACTCGGCCCGGTCTTGTAGAGCCGTGGTCTCGAAAGCGTTGTCCTCAGTGGCTCTTGTTTACCGTTCCGTTTTCCGTTCCGTTCCGTTGCGTTTTGTTGCCCCTCTGTCTGTCTCACCTGCCCTTTTATTCTCTGCTCTCTCATCAAGCGCAGGTGCTCTAATTGTGTGGTGCACAGGATTGGGTAACAGCGTCCATGGGGCTCTGCGGCATGTCTCCAGCTGGAGTAGGACTAAAATGCTAAAACACTCATGCATATAAAAACACCACTGCAAACTATAAAACAAAACATGTCCTCTCCCACATGCCGGATCACACAGTAGTGCCTCAGACATGTTCTGAGGTTGTCGGTCACAATATATATTTGTAAGTGGATTTATATCTTGGAGAAATCCCCCGTTTGGAAACACTGGTCAATGGGCAGTTGATAAAAGCAGGCTTCATGTTGGAAACACCCACAAGTATAAAAGAGAAAGTGAACTACAGACAAAGCAGACAACTGTTCCTGTGGACGGAGAACTGAGGCTGAGGAGGCAACATGGGTGAGACTCCTTTCCTTTCTATATCTATATACTGTATGTGTTCTAGAAAGTTAAATCTTTTGAAAATGTTGCTGTTGTTTAACATAAGTTTAGACTGTGAACACTTTACAAAGGGACAGTACACATAATGCCATTTTTTCTTATTTTACAGTATTCCTGTGCATAACTTTTATTATTGATCCAATCATGTTTTTATTGGGATTTTTCTTAAAAGTAAAAACAAGTTTTCTGAAGTATTTCTGAATGTTATTTAATAAATCTAGTGAGCCATATTTATGAGACTAATGATCAAAAACCTATTTTCTCAATGAGCACTAGAGGACTGTAACACACAGTGCAGTTGTCTTCCTACCATCAAAACCGATCTACACGGAAAATTGAAGCACGTTCAATTCAATGAAATGTATTCTTGTAAAGCACTAAATCACAATTGTAGTTATCTTGGAGGAATTCACAAAACTCGCAATTTGCCAACACAGATCAGAGAATCAAACAGTTCAAACACAAGAAATGCTGACAAGAAAGGATAAAAACACATAGAGCCACTGGTCCTTATGGTGCTTTTATGGTGATTTCAGACCGGAACATGCGATGCGTCGGCTTTCAATGCAAAGTCAATGGTGACGTGCGTTCGAGCGTCAAAAGGCAAGAACGTCTCGGGACACACGCACCGCTTACTGTAGTAGAGACGCACCGACTGCGCGGGAAAGTCAAAGGGGAGGAGCAGGAGCGGAAAATCGATGCCCACAGGAGATAAACTTTGCTCAACCTTTCCTCGAGACGTTTGTGCAGCGACCAATCAGAGAGCTGCAAAGTGGTCACGGGGACATTAGTGTCTGAGCGAGCAGACTGAACATATTGCATACAGTAAAAACAGGAGCTACATCAGGACTAAACCAGGACTAAACCAGGGTTGACAATGGGGGACTGTGTGCTTGTGAATATATGCGTTGTCATGCTCCCGTGACTTTATGCAACTGCTTCTAGTGTGTTCGCAGATGCGGAAATACCGTTTAGTAATAAAATAAACTTATCGCGCACCTCCGTGAACACATACTACTGTTTTATAAAGTCCGTGGAAGGTCTCTGAACACAGAGGACCTGCAGATCGCTGCAATATTGGAGAAGATCTGTACACGAGAACCCGCTAGCATAACTCTGTTAGCATCAGCTAACAAATGTCCATTAATGTTGTTGAATGTCAAATGTCCTGGATCACCACCGCTGTCCATAGACCCTCCTGCATTGGCAAGAAAAAGCTCTAAAAACCCAGTGGTAGAAAAGGGAGAAACCTCTGCGAGGCCCACATTGAGGGAGGGATCCACTCCCTCTGGCCAGAAGTATTTGTGCCAGGAGCGAACTCACACACAGGGCTAATCACAATACTCAATATCAGTATTAGCATTACTGTTTTTTCGTTGCTTTTTAAATATTTACGTGATTTTTTTTTGCAGGTAAAAAAAGAGTCTTCAGAGAGGTGAAGGAGACCGCAAAGGCAGTGGTGACTGCAGGGAATGCCGGTGCAGTGGTGGGGGGTGTGTTCGGGGGTCCCAAAGGAGCCGTAGTGGGGTGGACCGCAGGGGCCGTAGCTGGAGGAGCTGCACACATCATCGAGAAGAAGCTCTAGCAGAAAGTGCCGACGCAAAGACCTGCCCCTCCCCCTCATGATTACAACTGTTGTGTCACGTTCACACAAACCTCCCTCACCACTGGGCCAAACGGTGACATCACTTATATGGACTTCTCTCTGGACTTTCTGTCACGTCTCTCACTGTTAAATGTCTCGCAAAATTGGTTGTTGCTCTGTCCTTTTTAAGAAAGTTGCATTTGACATGCACTATGTCAATAAATTAGTCCTTTTTTCTCAGACGTCATTGAAATCCATCAAATGTCTGTTCAGAGTTTTTCTGCAGATTTTTGCCACAATACAAACCTTTCAACTTCAATGACTTCACATGGAACCTTCAACCAAAGATGATCCATGAAAAAGACAGGCTCAGAAAACATTGAGTCACATGCACAAAAAATATGACCTGACAGTTTCTACGCAGCTGTACATGCAGATGTACATGCAGATGTACATGCAGCTGTATATGCAGCTGTACATGCAGCTGTACATGCAGCTGTACATGCAGCTGTATATGCAGCTGTACATGCAGCTGTACATGCAGCTGTATATGCAGCTGTACATGCAGCTGTACATGCAGCTGTACATGCAGCTGTACATATGTATGAATGTAAATGAGAGAGTGAATGGATGGTGTAGATTGGGAGCTGATGCACCAGTGTGTTCGGCGACTCGCTTCCGTCATCACCGTGTTTGGAATGATTGGAACAATATCTGACTCTGAACATTGTAAAGCGCTTTTGGGTGACCTTGGTCTGTAAAATGCGCTAAATAAATAAACATTACATACTTACATGCAGATGGACATGCAGCTATATCGGAGGACTGGTCGGCAGGCCCACATCCACAAACATGTAGAAGCTCCACCGTGGCCCCCTCAGCATCTCCTTCTACCATCATGTTGTCATTATAGGCCACATTCAGTGTGTGCTGCTGCTCTGTTTCTCTATTTGGTCAGTCTCCATGCAGGCAGGAGGTCAGTGTGCAGGCAGGAGGTCAGTATGCAGGCAGGAGGTCAGTGTGCAGGCAGGAGGTCAGTGTGCAGGCAGGAGGTCAGTGGATAGCACTCTCGCCTCTCAGTGAGAGGGTTTGAATCCCAGTCGGAACAGGGTCTTTCTGAGTGGAGTTTGCCTGTTCTCCCCGTGCCTGCGTAGGTTTCCTCCGGGTACTCTGGTTTCCCCTACCACTAAAAACATGCTCACTAGGTTAAATCCTCCAGCTGTGGTAGTCCTGACCAAGCCGAGCATCAACATCTGGGGATGGGTTCCCGGGCGCTGTACTAAGGCGATGACCCTTCAGGTCACAGCAGCAGAGGTGGTGTAGCCTCTGGGTGGAGTAGGACGGCTCACAGTGTATCAGTGTATCAGAGTATTTGATTATGCAGTTCCGAAATTCATAAAAAAAATACTGTTTCGCGATGAAGTGCGCTCATCATTTTCTACATTAGAAAAGTACATTTTAATATTATTAATATGACTGTAAAAGTAATACAAGTTTTCCGCATACACTTGTTTGGCCTTTTCTTGTCACAAAGTACTAAGACATAATGAATGATACATTATATACAATACTGGATTGAAAATAATGTAAAAAATATATTATTAAACATTTTCCTCCAGTGGTTTTACTCAGTAGAGATGTGTGGCGTCATGTTCAGTGTATGAAAGAAGGGTTTTACTAAATGTGTTTGAGTCCTGGGGTGCGTCAGGCCAAATTTACTCCCTGACACGGTGTCATTTTGAAAGTGAAAGTAAATCTTATCTCCTTTTTGTTCTTAGGAAAATAACAGGGCGTGGCCTTTTGACTGGTCCGAAGTCCTTTGTTGAATCCTCAAAGATCATTATCGCGGTAAAACTAATCTGGCTTCATGTCAAGTGTGTGTCCATAAACCAGAAGGAGTTGCTTTTGGAACCAGAGATATGAGAAACATGGGAATAATCTTCCCTGTAATGTGGATTTTGGAGAGGAAAGCAAAAAAACTCAAACTCAAAACTAGAAATCATTTACTGTATAACCATCAGCAGTGTTTAAGGATGGTCTAATCTCAGCAGCCTTTTTTTGTGCAACATTAAGGAAACACGATTAACAAAAATATGTTGTTAAAGATGGAGTTCCTACTTTTTTGTAAAAAAAACAGTTTTTGTCACAACATCCTCGCTTTCAAAACTGTCCTGGTGGTTTTAAAGTTAGATACTCAAGCTTTAAATGAGTGCCCATAGTGCATTGGTTGGTTACATGTAGAGCTTCATGAATCTGAAAAAATATTTTAAATAAATAGAATGGGAAATCTGTGCTTTATGTATGTAATTCTCTTTTTGTGATTATATTATTTTGTGCATATTAGTACTTTGACCAGCTCCTCAAAGTTGAAACTGCACTTCATAAATCTACTCAAATCAAGAATGATTGGAGCTTTTACAAGAATGAAAGAGAATTAAAACTATGGCGAGAAAAGTGGCGTAATGTCCCCATAAAATAGGTTTGATTTCAACCAAGTCCTATTTGTTCTAAAGCTAACATAATATAACATAATATAACTTATCATGACATGTTCATAGAAGTCTGGGCAAAGCTCCAAAATTGTTAATACTGTTCCTATAATCACTACATTTCTGGGAAAAATCCATCCATCCATCCATTTTCTTCCGCTTTATCCGTTGCCGGGTCGCGGGGGCAGCAGTCTAAGCAGAGACGCCCAGACTTCCCTATCCACACACACCTCCTCCAGCTCGTCCGGGGGGACCCCAAGGCGTTCCCAGGCCAGCTGAGAGACATAGTCCCTCCAGCGTGTCCTGGGTCTTCCCTGGGGCCTCCTCCCGGTGGGACGTGCCCGGAACACCTCCCCAGGGAGGAGGAAAAAGACCTATGATATTTCAAAAGCAAAACTAAATATTATCTCTGCACAGTCATTAAGGTCATGCACAACTCTTATCAACTCTTGCACAATCGTCCAGAATAGAAAAGCTGCACCTCCTCATGTGAAAGACTGGATTATGAATTCTAGTGTTATCATTCTTCTTCTTCTGTCAGTCACCTACGCAGACATGGGAAGAACATGCAAACTCTACACAGAAAGGCCTGGGGGGACTCAAACCCAGGACTTTCTTGGTTCTGTGCCACAGTCATTTGTTTATTGTATTTCTTATGACCAAACTTCAAACAAAAAGTAAGCTCTAAGAAATCACTCGTAGAGCACATACTTCCGACAAGAGGCACAGTTCCACTGCAATGAAAAAAAAAACAATTCCAGAAATGATTGGAATATCTGTTTTCTGCAATTCCTGAAAATTCCAAATCCTCTTTGAGCAATGTTTGTACTGACAAACAGACAAACGCTGGTGATCGGTGCAGGTCATGTGCCACTCAAATAAAACAGAACTCACTGTTACCTGTAGGAGGGTAATAGAACTGTTCCACATGATAAAGGTTTTCTCCAGCGTAGTGAGTAATGGACGTGGATTTTTGAAACAAGGCTGATTTCAGATTCAGGTTCAAAAAGAGGATTTTAATTGTTTCTAGTAATTTATGTTAAGTAACATTTTTGTCACTTATGATACGAGATTTATAGTTACACTTTAACCTTTAGTCTAGTTTCTAATTGGTTCTTTTCTGAAGGGGCTGTATATGCGCGTACAATAAGTATAAAAGTGAAAGTGATGCAGACTTTGCAGAAAACTCCGGAGGACAAGGACGATCTCTGCAGACCATGAGTTCAAGTGAGACTCTTTCCTTTATCTTTTCTTTCTTTCTTTCTCCGGGCCTTTCTATAAAGTGTGTTGAGGGAATGGGAATTAAATAGGAATTTATTTATATAACGCATTTCACAGACCAAGGTCACAAAAAGCTCTGTGTCTGTAGAGTGTGAATAATAACATTATATATAAAATAATAAAAAAATGATATTTTTATTTTGACTTTCCTTTAAAACCAGAAGATAAACTAGTGTTTCTAGGGCGGCACGGTGGCTGAGTGGATAGCACTCTCGCCTCTCAGCAAGAAGGTCCTAGGTTCGAATCCCGGTTGGACCAGGGCCTTTCTGGGTGGAGTTTGCATGTTCTCCCCGTGTCTGCGTAGGTTTCCTCCGGGTGCTCCGGTTTCCCCTACCACTAAAAATATGTACAATAGGTCTGGCATGTGCCTCCTGTACTGGCACCCCCACCCAACAATTGTAAACCGCTTTGAGACTCCGATGTGCAGTGAAAAGGCGGTATATAAATAAAAGCTTACTTACTTACTTACTTACATAAACACATAATCTGGGTTCACACTTAAACTCCCAGAGCAGTCCATTTGACTGCTTGTAAAGTTTTGGAAGTGTAATTACTTGGTGTATATACGTTTTATGTACATCTTTACAACTTTGTGACTTTTCTGTCTCTAGTTTATTTCTATAATAATCTTTATGAAATTAACTTTTATACTTGAAACACAGCAACACACTGCTGTTCACTGTCAGCATGTCTGAGCCTCATATTCATAATTTTGGGACTAAAAAAAACACATTGCTTAATTTTAATAAAAAAGTTGCGAAACTGTTTTTTAAAATTGTTTTCCCAAATTTCAATGATTTGAATTGGAGCAGTCAGACACATTGCAAGGGGAACTAGAGCGTGCCCCAACACCACAGATCATTCTGAACGTATAATGGGGTCTCCTAGCTTCATAAATCCCATCAACACACCACATTTTAGTTAAATCTGCTATCGCTTTTGGGAAATCCAGTGTACTGACAGACACATTCTCTTGTGATTGATATCTGCAGATGAAAAGAAAGCCTTCAAGGAGGTGAAGGAGGTCACTAAGGACATTGTGATTGCAGGGAATGTGGGCGCTACTGCAGGCGGCGCCCTCGGGGGTCCGGCTGGAGCTGCAGCAGGGTGGGCAGCTGGGGCAGCAGTGGGAGGAATTGTCTACCTAATCGAGAAGGCGCTCGACTAGTATTCAACCAATGAGCTGAATACTGTCGTTGTGTTCTTGGGCAAGACACTTAACCCCACTTTGCCCAAAGCCCCCACTGAAAGATCAAGGCTATGCTCACACTCAGAGAGCAGCCGTCCTCCTGTGGACTCACCACCTGCAGAGGGTCAGGCATCTCTGACTGCCACCCCCCTGACCCAGAAATGGATTAAAAGGGTAGAAAATGGATGGATGGATCTTTGCACCATTTAACCACTGGGCCAAAGAAGTCAATTAAAATGACTTCTCTCTGGACTTTTGGATTCTGCTTTCTCTGTTAAATGTCTTCTGGGATAAGTTTTGAATATGTTTTTCTTGAGCACAGTTGTATTTGTATGTGGAATGGGCTATATAAATAAATACTGTACATCCTTTCTACTCAGATGTTGAAATTCATTCAAGAATAAAATAATGACTCCAAATGGCTGTGATTTTTTCTGCAGATTACACAATATAAACCTTTCAAATTCATGCTCATACATCATACTCGACGGCACAATGAATATAAACACCCTCTTTGATTCAGAAGCTGCAGTAATAGAACATTGTTTGTACCTTGATTGTTGTTAACGCTGGTTCAGCCACGGTTTCTCCTTCGATGATAAATGAACACTACAAATTCTGCTTAGATATATAAAAAGGTTTAATATATAAAAGACAGAATACAGGATACAGGATACAGACAAATGGCAGACTGGTTGCTCCAGTCTGGGCCCTGCTCCCTGGAAAGCCAAAAGCAAAAGACCCCTGCTTAAGGAACAGGCTATCGATGATAAGCACACAGTCACATGACATGATAATTGAAGACATATGTCCCAACATCCTTAGGTGAAGACAATACTTCTCTGTTCAGGACACACAAATAGCCCCTGTGTGAGTAAGCCTGAGGCTACTCTAAACAGATGTTCTCTTGTGTTCTTGCCTTAATTTAACTTCCTGTGTTTAATGGCTGGGGGATGGTTCCATACATTCTTCACTCTGCTTACTACTAGTTTTTAGATCCTAGACTAAACGTTACATTTATTAATATGATAATAACACAATAACATACTCCATTGACATAATTCCCCCCTATTCATAATATATAAATGTAAAGTTTCAACATCCAGCATTACAACTCTTCTCAGTTTTCTGCAATACCTTCATAACAAACTTACACTTATACAGAAATATCAAAATCATCATTTACATTTGTGTGAGCTAACAACGCTTGACATTGATCCGAAAACAATGTGTCTGCAACTGCAGTGTTTATCATTCTGTTGGTTAAAGACTTAGCACATGGCAACAAACAAGTGACAAATATGCAAAATAAAACCAAAATCATTATTGCAGGTGTCGCTATTTTCAATATCAGTTGCCACCATGCACCAGTAGAAAACCATGACAATAAGTCCCAATTCATGTTGTCATTGTCTCGTTCACTTAGCATCTCAGTTTTAAGACTTTTTAGTCGATCCAAAATTAGTGAATAATTTGAGTTGGATGATGGAATGAACGTACAACAATGATCCTTAATTAACTGACACACACCACCAGTTTCAGATAAAACAAAATCTAATGCTACTCGATTCTGCATGATCATTTGACGCATAGCCTCCTTCTCTGGATCTCCCCTGATTTGTTCAGTGAGGTCCATGACAATATTAGTCAAATTCTCCAAATTCCATGCAATATCATTCATCCTATGTCCTAAATATGCAACTCCATACATGGGAAATGCCGTCATGAACACTCCTCTTACATTTGAGATTAAAGGTGGGCTTCTGGCCGCTGTGGCAGCAGCCCTTTTCTGCCTCTGGCCCAAGTGCTGTGTCAAGTTATCACTTGAAATGATGTAGGAGGCCGGACCTAGGGTGGCCAGATGACAAGTTCCACACCATCTCTCTGGAAGCCACAGATACACTTTATCTCCACAAACCCACACCTGGTTTGACGGGCATGGATAGCCCCAAAAATCCGGGACCTCAACCAAAAAAGCTGGGTATGAGTGCCAGTTGGCCACTCCACTGACCTCACCCACTTTAGTGAAATTAATCACTGGGAACTCCCGTGCGGTCGGAGTAGTAGTGAAGTATAACCTGTGGTGTACCTCAGAGGTTTGTTGGTTAGATGTGGCAATAGGCAGAACATCATCACAGCTGGATGTTTCATACATATTGGTTAGCATCCTCCCAGGGCCCCGGCACATTGCATTTCCTACTCAGACACAGAGGAGAATTGGCTGGAAATCGAGCCACAGTTACACCTTTCTCATTAGTCATATTTGTACTTAAAGAGAAGTTCAATGGAACTCTCCAATCTGCTACCTTTTGAATTAATAATAATAATAATAATAATGCATTTTATTTCTTAGGCGCCTTTCAAGACACTCAAGGTCGCCTCACAACAACAAGTAAATTAACATCAACAATTAAAAACAGTTAAAATACAATGTTAAAACAGCATGAATAAAACATACAGTTGTGGTCACAGTGAGTAGGCTTGTCTAAACAGATGAGTTTTGAGGATGGATTTGAAGTGTGGGAGTGAGTCGGTGTTACGGAGGTCAGGAGGGAGAGTGTTCCAGAGCTGGGGAGCAGAGCGACTGAAGGCTCTACTCCCCATGGTGACGAGATGGGCGGGAGGGGGAGCAGTGAGCCGGAGAGAGGAGGAGGAGCGGAGAGAGCGGGCAGGTGTGGAGACATGGAGGAGGTCAGTCAGGTATGGAGGAGCGAGCTTGTGGATTGCTTTGAATGTGAGGAGCAGGATTTTGTATTGGATGCGGTGGGTGATGGGGAGCCAGTGGAGCTGTTGAAGGACAGGAGTGATGTGGTTTATGGAGGGGGTGTGTGTGATGATGCGGGCGGCTGCATTTTGGACCAGTTGGAGTTTATGTAGAGTTTTTTGAGGGAGACCAAACAGCAGGGAATTACAGTAGTCGAGACGAGAGGTGACGAGGCTGTGTACAAGTATGGCAGTGGTGTGAGGGGAAAGAGAAGGGCGGAGCCGGCGGATATTTCTGAGGTGGAAGTAGGCGATGCGGGTGATGCTATTGATGTGTGCGGTGAAGGAGAGGGTGCTATCGAGGGTGACACCCAGACTCTTTACCTGAGGGGAGGGGGAAATGGAGGAGCCGTCAATGGGAATGGAGAAATTGCTGATTTTATTTAGGGTGGATTTGGTGCCAATGAGGAGGAGTTCAGTTTTATTGCTGTTGAGTTTGAGAAAGTTTGAAGTGAACCAGGACTTTATTTCATGGAGGCAGTTGGTGAGAGAGGACGGTGGGAGTGTGGAATTTGGTTTACTGGAGATGTAGAGCTGGGTGTCATCCGCGTAGCAGTGAAAGTGAATGTGGTGTTTTCTGAAGATGTAACCAAGAGGGAGAAGATAGATTAGGAACAGGATGAGGCCGAGGACAGAACCCTGGGGAACCCCTGAAGTGACTGGGAAGGGACGGGAAGTAAAAGATTTGAGCTGGATGAACTGGGTGCGGTCAGAAAGGTAGGAGCAGAACCAGGAGAGGGGAGTGTTTGTGATGCCAATGGAGGAGAGTCTGTCCAGAAGGATGGGGTGGGAGATAGTGTCAAAGGCTGCGCTGAGATCAAGCAGGAGGAGGATGGAGAGTGAACCGGAGTCAGCAGAGAGGAGAAGGTCGTTGGTGATTTTCAGAAAAGTGATATGTTTAGACGGATTGATTCTCCACCCAATAGACCACAACTGGAAGGTCTAAAGCAACGTAATTACTTAAAATCACAGGGAGTAGCGGCAGCCAAAATCGCGCCTGCGTTCACTGAACGCAGGCGCAATTGAAAGAGCAATTGAAAGAGTAGTACAGTTTGGCAGCCATTCCACATATTTAGAGTAGTTCATGCCAATTGAATGTAAGGTATAAAAAGCCATAGTGCATATAGTTGTTAAAGCTGAGACCGGATGTGGTGTTATATAAGGATTTGAATTTGAATGATGAGGAACAAATGCACAAACATAACAATCTGACATATTGTTTGCCTGAGCCGTTATTTCAGCCATGCAATACCAGTCGTTGTCTTTATAGTGATCTACATCTATTTCTGCTCTAGCTGTACGCTTGACATTGTTATATTGTTGACTCCCCCACCAGAGCAGTGATGGAACCACAATAACTATCAATGTAATCAGCATTATTAGACCACTACTGCATCGAAGTCCATGTCGAGTGGAGAATACTTTGAAGACCATCTTGTAAACAGTCCTTTTTGAAACAGTCCAATTCACCAATATCACAAGATGAGAGGTTACTAGCACATCATCAAGTTGTACAAACTGTGTTTCTTGTGCATTAAACCACTGGAGGATCTCCCTGCTTCACTGACTGTTGAGACGAGCAGTCTGCCCCCCTTTGTAGGTCAGCCTTCCCCTCCGCTGTGGTTGACACAAGATCCTGCAGATTTCTCTTTTTGCAGTGTGAGAGGTGAATCCACGTGGGCCTTTCTGCTATCTTCACAGCAGTGGGTGTCGTCAGTAGCACTTGATGCGGACCTTCCCACCGTGGACTGGACCAGGACTTTCGTTTGATGACTTTCACAAACACCCAGTCTCCAACTCGAACAGGCAGCTCCTGTGCACAAAATGGTTGACTCGGAACATTATTTGTTTCTTGACACGCTCTAGTCAATAATGTTTTTCTCATATAGTCAGCCAACGTAGGATTATCATCAGGAGAGAACTGCTTATTTGGCTGTAAATCTGGAAGTGTGTATGACCTACCATATAATATTTCAAATGGTGTCAATGCACTACCCTGAGTAGGTGTTATATGCATGCTTAACTGTACCAAGTCTATGCATTCAGGCCATTGTCTGTTTGTTTCCTCCATGCATTTCCTCAATTTAGCTTTAATAGTGCCGTTATTCCTTTCAACTAAACCTGCACTTTGTGGATGGTAGCTACAATGTCTTTTTAGATTTATGTTGAGATTTTTTCCCACCTTATCAATCACATCATTTACAAAATGTGTTCCA